ACAGCTTACAAAGTTACAAGTGTATTCAGCACCCTCTTCAACACCTTGGAGAGCCAGTGTTAAGAAGCTCTCAATTGTGTGTGTGTGTGTGTGTGTGTGAGAAGATGATGCTCTCAAAAGGAACTGCTTTAAAAATGGGTGTAAAAAATGTGTGTTAGAAAACACTAACGTGAATTTGATCATATGGGAGGCTGGACCCTGAACACCAGACAATTCTTGAATATAAATGTTATGCAGATGAACATAAGAAACGCATATGTTCCTTTAACCTCCTTCTCCTCCTCTGCAGACGGTGAGTCGTCACTTCAGGAATATCCAGGTGAACGAGAAGGAGACGCTGACCTACTTTATTTACATGGTGAAGAGCAGCAAGAGCCGCTTGGACCAGAAAGGAGACGGCGGCAAACCGCTGGACTAAACTCCGCAGCGACCACCACAGCAGCAGTAGCTCCAGACTAAACCAACAATTCTCCACAGCTTTTCACAAAAAACCTGGACACCACTAACAGCAGCAGCAACCAAAACCAGCTCCTCCTGCAGCCCTGCCACCGTCCCACTCCTCTGTAAGACCACATTACAAACTCTAGTTGTCCTTAGAGGGCGTGTCTCTGAAACGGAGGAGAATTCAGGGTGGGATGAGTTATCTTTAGCTCAGTATACCCTCTTCACGTAAAAACTGTCTTCGCGCATGTCGTCACGATGGTCATTTCCTCTTCCTCTCCTCCGCAAAAGCCAGGTCTCTAAAGACTGTTGAGGACCAGGACTCACTCCGCAGGGTTTTTACGTCGTTATGCTGTAATGTAAACTGTCTATATGTACAAAAGAACAGCGTCCGATCTGCAGTTGGTTGAATGCAATGTACAATAGCTGCCTTAAGAGTAAAAAAAAAACACAAGGGGTATTTTTTTCTTTGCCGAGTTGACTGTTAACACGTTCAACGAGAGAAACGCTTGTGCCAAACAGGAAAGCTTGTTGGAACTGAATGATGCTGAGTGGGGTTGTTTTTTTATTTTTAATAATGAATGAATGACTGGTTGGGAGGGGGCGCTGCCTTTGCTAAAGTTACACCCAGCATATCAGGGCTCAGGGTCAGTTTTAGTGGCACCAAATTCACACAAAACTCAATAATGTTTAAAATATTCTAGAACAAGCTGATCTCAGTCCCTACTTCATTTTTTCGTCGCCCTTTTCCAACTGGACGCGATGCGTTTAAAGACAGGTGGTGGTGAATGATGTAGCATTTGGCTATGACCCACTCTTCTCCTTCTCGCTAGCTGTTTTATGTACGTATGAACACACACATGCTGTTTAATTTTCTCTGTGCATCGCAGGTGTTGGTAGCTTTTTTTTTTTTTTGTAGCCCAGTTTTCTATCATTCTCTTTAGTTCAGCCTTAAGTTGTATAAAGTTGTGTCTGTGTGCATATATGATTTAGATTTCTCCATTTTTTTTCCACCTGAAGTGGAACTTGTGTGTGTATGTGTGTGTGCGTGAGTGTGATAGGGGTGTAAGAGTAATTATTAGCGTCATTTTAATATTTAAGAGCAGTGTTTATAGTGGACAACGTCTTTACATACCTGGATGTATTTTAAGAGGCTGGGTTAATAGGTTGTTTTTCTCATCTCATAATCGAATTAAAACATGGATATGGATGCCTTTTGTTCAATATCAGCCAGCCATTCAGGTCCAACACAAATCTAAATCTAAATCTCCCATCACAACTGAATTGTTTGAATTGTTTCATGACTTTATGACCATCTTGACTTCTTAAATTATTTCATTTGTTTAGCAAAGAACTCACTTGTTTGTGAAATGAATAAGAAAACCGAATTGAAGAATGTCACCATCTGTCTGATCAGGGCTTATAGTGTATACAAATAAGCCACAAGCCATGATGGGATATGACCAGTAACCCTTTTGGCAGGTAGCCTCCCAGTGACAGCTGAAACAGCTGATATACGACACTGCAGAAAACCTACACGTTAATTTAAATCCTAAACACACTGCTGAAACCTCCAACGGACAACTATTTGTTTTGCATCTTCTCAAACTCCACCTCTGTGTTTTGTTGTTTATGTTGGTGACTGCGTAGATTATACACACAGTTTTTTGGGGGGGTCCTGCATCCTCTGTCACACATCGTATTTAAGTTTGTCCACCACACTGAGTTCGTCTACTTTCAACAGGTTTCTTTTTTTTCGTGTCTGTCTGTTTATATTTTCAGTTTTGCTTGTAGGTTTGTTAGCGTCATGTAGATAACACCCAACTTTATTAACATATAGGCCATGCCTCATTAACCTAATTGTTGTATTAGATTAAAAAAACATATTTAAATATGGCTGCTTATTGCTCCTAATATTAATAAATGTATTGTACAGACAGAAGCAAGAGTCTCGTCTCTGTTCGTTCAGATTGTTTGGTTGTTTTCACCAGTTTTCACACGTGTATATCATGAAAATAAAATCTATAACTGTTAAAGATAAGGATGTAGAGAGTCAAAGAGAAATGCAGCCAGGGGAGAAGATTGTCGTTTCGTCATGCTGTGTAGTTTCAGTAACAGCCATCCACCACTAGGTGGAACTGTAGGCGTTCTTACTAATTGCAGGACAGAAGTGGATGTTACAACACCTGGAGACTTTCAGAGGAAAACAAAATCATAAAGACAGCAGCAGTCAAATATTTTCTAAGAGTAAGATGGCTTTTTTTACACAGCTGGCAAACTTTATTCTTGGGGCATTTTTTTTTAAATAATTCTTCATCACCAACAAAAATAAAAATCTAAAGTGTGCAAAAGTCACGCAGACCAGCAGAACATTGGAGCTCTAATTGGTGCCTTTAAACCAATTAGAGTTTTGCAATTGTTGGCCATCCATTTACTGAATGAGATACACATATGACTAATCGCCACAGGAGGATTAGATATTTTTAATGAGGATTTTTTTTAATTTTTTTATTTTATGTATATAATAAACGCTGTGGTCAATTATGATGTGACTCATGAACCAGTTATGAATTCCATTAACAGTAGGCCACCCAGGAGAACTGGACTATTGGAAAATTAGACAATAACAGGCATTTTACATTGATTTTAAACTCAACTTTAATATTAAAGTTTGGTAAAGTTAGAAATTTAAACGTGTATTTCTAAAATGCAAAAAAAAGGTTAAAGTTCCTCAAAGAATAATAATAATTCGAATTTTGACTGTGGAGTTATTGTGAAGAAAAGGCCAGTATCCTGGGATTAAATTTAAAAAAAAGAAATATATTTACAATTAGTTCCTTACATTATTTGGCTATTAAATCATGTTAATCTTAATTTTGTTTTATTTTTTCTCCAGTGATTATAACCGTTTCTTGCCACATAAATAAGTAAAAAGAAAAAGCAATAAAATAACATCGCCTTATTATTAGGGATCAGTGTCTCTTTAATAAGACATTAAATCTCTGACCGTTAAATAAAATAAAGAAACACTTTCACTACAGCTGGAGTAACGTAAAATAATTCATTTATTTACGGAACTATATATAACTTCACATCCAATGTATATTTCCAAAAACATTCCGCACAGTCATAAACCTTTAATCCTTTTTTACTTTTAGTGTTTAACATGTCGGAGTGAGAGCTGTGCGTTAACGGAACATTCGGTGTCTCAGTCTCAGAGCGCACAGTGACATTAATTTTGAGGTAGATTCAGTAAATTCAATAATTTTCTACAAGAAACATCAACAACGGACTCCATCTGAGCTTTTTTCTTTAGTACCATATCTGACCGAGAATAATGGGTTAATAATATTTTAAATATTCTGACTGCGCCATATTCAGCAATGAAAAAGTGACAAAAAAAAAAAAAGAATAAAAAAGTTTCCCCTCAAAAATGTGTTTCCTCTGGCCTCGGCTTCCGGGACAGACATTATTACTGGATTCATTTTTATTTTATATCATTTTCGTTTTTACATGATATGACATCACAAAGAAGACTGTCTGGTAATGCATTAATGTTTTAATTATTTAATTATTAAGTTTTGATTTTACATCACGTTGCCATGCATTTGATGTAATTTTTTTGTAAAGTTTTTGCAGCTGAAAATGTACAAACTCTAAAATCTTTTAGATCCTGTGAATGAGATAAAATAAAAAATATATACCACGATTTATGCAAAACATATTCGTGATCATTTCATAACCCCGTGGCAACGGATTAACAACAAGGTGAAAGCACACGGTAAAATAAAAATAAAAAATAAATTTAAAAAAAATGTCAGTTTCTAAATATATTTGAGTGTCATAACTGACTTCCGGTTGGACAAATATCATTTAACACCTGCCATCTTCTGTTAGGCCTAACTCACACTGAAAATTGATATTTAATAATTCTGCTGTGCAGCTCGTGTGACTGTGATTTGCCATAATTTACGCAACAAAAAGAAAACTCCCGGGCAGAAAGAATAACCAGAAGCGCCAGTTAGCTGAGGTGAAATTTAAAAATAATTTTTAAAAAAGGTAGGCTATTAATTTTTCATATTTGATTTTTCTGCACCTCTCCAGTGGCGCTCCTCACAGACCACAACATACTCTACATTTACTCCACTCGTCATTTGTTATAATTTATTTATTATTTTCCGCTCCAGCGCCATCAGATGTGGAAACACCACTACCACTCCACACCAGATCAAAACACATTTTTGGGGGGGAGACAGATGTTTTTGACACTGTGGCAACATCTGGTCTACAGTACTGCAGGGGTGGAAACATCAAAAGGCAGAAATACCACAAATATCACACACCTACAGTCAGACTCGTGTGTCGAGTTAAACACCACACCAGGAGAGAAGAAGAAGAGGATCGACGCGGTGTCCATCGGGATGTTTCCCTCCCACCTTGTTTGCATGTTGTCCTTTCATTCTCTCCTGTTTCGCGCGTCATTAAGCGCGCACAGCGGCGTGTTTAGGTTCAGTCAGTCAGTGGTTTTTATCTGATTTGAATCCAGAGTCTCTGAGGAGGTTTTTTAAAGGGGGAAGGAGAAAAGGAGGAGGATGAGGAGGAGGAGGCAGGGTCACTGGTTGAGCTCCAGAGCCCAGACCTGCTGCGGCCACCCGGTCCGGCCCTTCACCTTCTTCTCGGCTCCTAAAGACTCCTGCAGGCCGTCAGTCTGTGGCACCAAACACACACATGATCATCAGTAGGGCGGCTCAAACACAGGGACCTCACACTCAGTATGCTCGGCTCAGTTTAGCGAGAGTTACCACTTTATATATATCTATGCATTACACTTCCTGCTTTATTTACACACGTTGCAGCCTGTTCATTTTACAGGTTGATGCTCCTCCGGAAGTCTACACCGGAAAATCATATGAAAATATGATATGTGCTGTTTTTCGTCACCTACACAAACATCTGGGGGCTTCGATGACGCAATCAGGGCCATGACATCACAGGCTTTCATTAAGTAAAACCTGATCAAACCATAAGACCAAACATAACCAAAATAATGTAACAAAATGCAAGCATATTTTATAATTTGTAATATTAAATAATGAACGCATATACTGAAATAAAATAAAAACTACTGTGATTTTACGAAAACACAATGTTTGTGTTTGTTATAAGTAAATATAGGCAGGCTACATTTATTCTTTTCATTATTATTATTATCATTATTATATTATTACGCACACAAACCGTGTCGACCTACACGTTTTGAGGAAATGTAACTTTAAAATGTAACTACATATTTATGAGGATGTAACTGTTGTCATTATGGTGATCAGCAGCTGCAGATGTAGTAACAGAGTAGTAATATCTATGTGTATTATATATGTAGGATGAATAATCAAAATGTAACCAAGTTATTTCAGTGGATATGAAGATATAATATCTTAACACCATATGTTTTTATGCATAAAAATAAAATAATCAACACTTCATGAAGTGTTGATTATTTTGTTTTCTAAAGCTGTACGTATAGTTTACGTAGCCTTGTTATAGTGGATAATAAAAGACACACACACACAAAAAAATTGGCTGCACTTTACACCACAGTCATATTTAGGATCTCTTGGCTAAGAATATTCTTTATTTATTATATATTTTCGTTGGGAATTGTGGTTTAATTCAGATAAAATTAAGACTGAAAAGGTAAAACTGTAAACCTTAAGATAATAATTGATATTTAGGTTTTGTTTTCAAACTCTCTGGTTGCTGCAGTTTTGTAAATCAGAGCATGTCCTTGAATTTAACCTTAAATTTTTTCCATTCCCACTCGCTGTTCAGGCCTCCAGCTATTTTTTACAATGACTCAAACTTAAACTAATTAGTTACTGAGGTGTGTTTGAGTTGGTTATGAGTTATTCTGAACAGCATTTTAAGTTGCAGAGGCTTCAACAATCGTGACTCACCGGCTCTCGCTTCCTTTTCAGATCCCGGTTTTCAAATTTCTTAATTTCAGCCTTAAAGCCCTCCGTCTCTCCGGTGTCTTTGGCCAGGACGTCCATCAGGTAGGCGATGTAACTGGTCGCCAGGCGTAAAGTTTTAATTTTAGACAGTTTTGTGTCCGCGGGGACGTTGGGGATACACTCCCTCAGCTCGGCGAAAGCTGTGTTGATGCTCTCCGTCCGCCTTCGCTCTTTCTTTGGCCCCGACGTCCTCCTCTTCCCCATCCCCGCCTGGAGCCCCTCCAACCGGGCGTCGTGCGTCGCTCCGGGCGCTCCGTGCTCCACGGCCGGGTAGGGCGCCTGGATCTGGAAGTCCGGAGGCATCTCGCCGTGGTTCACCACCCAGCTCTGGAAGTACGGCGCATCTTGATGACACCGCTGCACGAACGGGAAGGGTTCGTGCATCAGGTGGTGGTGATGCTGGTAGCCCCCGATGAGGTTCATGTCGAGCGGGGGAACAAATGGGGTCGTTGTCGTGTTTTCCGTCGCCCTCGATCTCTCTCCGGTGCTGCTCCACAACGGTCTCTGCTCGGGGATCTGCAGCCAGCACAACTCATTCAACACTTAGATATGTATTCCCCTGAATGCATTAACGAGTCGAGCCAAACGAAGCCACCAACTTTTACATCGTCGTCATTCTGAAAGCAACTTCAGCCGAGGTGAAACAGGCCGTGAAAAAGTTTATAATTCCAGAAAGCAAATTTCGGTGAAGTGCTGGAATCCTCTTGTGTGTCTTTCTTGCGACCGTTTCCCGGAGAGGCTGCTCTGATTTGCCCAAGAAATTTGACCCCAGTGAAGGTGTGAGGCCCCCAGGTTTATATGATTTGGATGTCAGCGTGGAAAGGAGGCAGCCAATAGAGGAAAGCGCCCAGGATGGGAGGAGAGTCTGGAGAGGTTTGTAATAACATGCGCCATGGTGCCATAATCTCACGGCACTACACAAGCAAATATCTGCATGTTGGAGTTAGATGCTGGCTACCAGACTTGCACACTAGAGAAAAAGGGGGTTAACTGTCTCGAGTTGTGTTTTAAAAGAGGGTTTTTTGAGGGTTTGGGGAGGTTTTACGCACGGAATTTACGCACCCTCTGTTTGGCTACGGCTGTTTATTAGGTGTGATTTTTGTAATTCAGTGGCAAAAATAATTATGTTATTGTACTTGTTAACTTGTGGGTTGTCATGCAGGAAAATTAAGTTTATCAGGAATTTAGATGGATTTTGTTTTTGTGCGCACGAAATTAAAAGAAAAACTACAGCTACATTTAATCTGACTATTCGACATTTTTTAATCCACATATGTGATATAAAGTTGATGTAAAGTGTTTGGATTTAGTACCCCCGCCTCAGATAGCTAAACTTATCGATACATGAAGTGTCTCATTTTGCATTAAAGAAATTATGTTTTGAAAAATGGACAGATATTTGTAGGCAATTTTCGACATGACAATCTATCCAATTAAATTCAATCCCACTTCATGTGTCGCGTCACGCCATAAATCTTTCTCTGGAAATATAAAATCATTTGTCTGCTTTCCTCTCCAGTTCCTTCAGCCTGATGCTTGTTTAAGATTTCCTCGGATTTTTCATATTTTCTTAAACGCGTAATGGCGATCTTGTGCGTTAATTGGCTGAATTTCGACAGTATTATCAGTCTCTACTTCTCCAGTAATAAAACAGGATAAAGGTTCGTGTCAGAGCGCTCTGGGAAGTGTAAATGAACAGTTTGATAAATTATTTGGTCCTTTTGAGACAGACACAGTCCGCGGCCTGTTGTCATCATACCTTAGCGGTATAAGGAATAGCGGCTTTATCTCCGCATTAATTCCCCCCCAGCTCCTTACACACTATACACATCATCTTGTCTCCATCGCCTAAAAACATTATCCCATTACATTACATGACCTTGACGCTATTTAGAAACCATTTACGGCCGCGTCTTATCTAAATACAGCCATAAATCAGGAGGTGTCACCGTCCGGCAGCGTTACATGTATTCCATAAAAGCTCTCCTGGCCTGCGCACTGTTTACATTACGGCAGTTTGCAGCATATTTCACCGTCCACCCCTGCTGCAATAAATAATCATCAGTCACAACTTTATGTCCCTTATTTTACACGGATGTACAGAACACTGCACGGAAACTTCAGGTAATATTTCTCAATGCGCGTATAGTGTTTCAGATTGAACATGTTAGAGCATTTCTTTATGTTCTGTTCCTTAACTTCAAGTTGCTTCTTTGTTTGCTTGTTTGTTTTGTGATATAATTCCGTTTTAGTTCTGTCATATTTCTGTATTCCCTGCAATACAATGCCTATGATATGGCTCTATTATAATTGTAAAGCACACACTTGTAAATTGCATGTATAGTTTTGAGACAGTGCAACTTCAGTATTTATATTTTGTTCAACTTTACCATAAATTAGAGGGAAATATGGAACTTCTGAATCGACTTACATGTGGTTATGGGGTTCTTTTGCAGATTCAGATTTAACAGTCAAAACATATTTGTTGCATTGTTGTAGTTAAATTACCCAAAGATGTTGCACCACCTGCAGCACACAACATTAAAATGCTGCTTTCACTTTAATGCATCATTAATTTAACAGTATGAAGGGAGCCATGCATGATGATGAGCATTTTATTTTTGATACTTGACTTTTACTTCACTAACATCTTGAATGCAGCACCGGAGCATTATGTAATGTGTTATAATAACCTTTAATAATTGTCTTTATTTTGAAAAGAAGTGCTTTACATGAGCACCGACAAAAACTGTAACACTACAGAAACAATTGGGACGATACAGAGAAAAAGATCCGTAAAAAATGACTCACATTAATAAAAGTAAAAAGAGATGGAAAAGAAGGACTATGCAGTAAAAAATGGCATGGTTATGAAACATTTTTGTAGAGATTTACTGCAACATTTCCTTAAATTATTGTCAATTAATACAGAATAACAGGATCTGAAATGGTCTGGGCTACATGTAATATTTCAACAATAAAGACACCCACAGTGTCACAGAGGTGCTTTAATATCTTTGTTTCTTATCAGACTTCATAGCCTCTGTATCTGGTCTAAAACCTTTGTAGCCCAACAGCTGGATTTAAAAACATTTTGGGAATATTATTAAAAAAACAACAACTTTATAATATGATTTCAACATTTCAATTTATGTTGTATTTTGCAAGGAAGGACATTCAACACTTGTCATAGCATCAAATGCACAAACAGACCCCACTGCATCTTTTATAATTGATCAAACTTTATTTGTATGTTTTGCACATTATTTGCGATACAAAGTGACTGACAAGTAAATACAGTGCAACTATAAGCAACGCATGTACGTCTGCATAAACCAATGATATTGCTTTATACTTTATTTCATGCAAGCTGTTGTTGCTTATGAGCAGAGTGAGGACACATCCTCCTCTCCGTCCTGTTTGCCACTCACATGTTACCTCCGCTGTCAGCATGAAAAACACCATGCTGCCTCCTGAAAGAAAACCTGACACTGTTGATTAAGACGTCCACTACACAGAGATGAAATACAATACTGGTCATACCCCCCCCCCCCCCCACTCTTTCTCTCCTGCCCTCTCTGTATCACTTTCTCCTCCACTTCTTATTCTACTCTTCTCTCTCCATTCTCTCTCAATGCATCACCTTCAACCAAAACCTTTGCTCTTTTTGATCTGCTCCTTCTTCTCTTTTTTGTCTTTACTTGCTATCGCCGGAGGTGCTGAAAGACCTGGGCAGCAGTAATAGTCTCTTCATATTTTGCTTTCAACCCCAATAGACTCCAGTCATCTCTCTCTCTTCCTCTCTCCCCTCCGCCCCTCTCTTGCTGCTTTGCCAGGGGAAACATCCAAAATAGGTCATAGGGAGCCATCTTGGCCGTGTTATGAATTCTCCTCATAATTGTTTGTGTCATCATGTAGATTTTTCAATAGACACTGCTTCCCTCCTCTTCAGAGTGCTTACCCTCAACTCTACATTTCCAAACAAATATTCCCTCTGATTCAAAGTCGAGCACGCTAAGCACGGAAAACGCTGCCGAGCATGCTCAGCCCCGAGTGTTTATCATACAGGGGCTCTCATACAGTATATATATATCCACCTCTGGCGTGCATCGACTCTGACACGCAAAGCTAATTAAACCCATTGGGTGAAATTAGACATGGCGGCTCCTCCTCATTCTGGGAAATGTGGGCAAACTGGGTCATGCCATGGCAGTGCAGGAGTTCAGAGGTGCAATGCCTGATGGGAGAAGAAACCCTATTCAGTGTCCTCTGCGTGCCTGGCTCATGTAGAGGAAGACAGGGGGCACAAGGTGTTATAAATGACCATTTGTATTCAATTTATACATACACTGCTCTTTTCTGTTTGATTCAAGGTCACACTGAGGTCAGATCTCATCTCATCAAGCCAACAGAACAGGGTTTGGGAGATAATCGAATCAGAAATTTGGGCTAACAAGATCATTCTTTGGGAAAGCAAGTGCTGTTTATTCTCATGCGATTTAAGTTTTGAATCACGAGCTTCGTCATTTTGAGAGTTGCTGGTTGTCAAATTCAGTGTACCACACACATGTTCGGTGCAGTCTTCTTTTAGAAAGTCATAGGCTTAAAGGATAAGCTCACACAAATTACAAAATACCCCAGTATTTGCTTTTATGTTCCTATGTTTTTAGATGTCTGTTTGTAGCACAATTTCCTTGGGACCTTTTTTTTCTTTTCACCAAATGAAGTGCTCTGTGGATTATTCAGATTAAAATGACATTGTTTCTGTAGAGTTTTTTTAATGTAATTTTTCAAAATTGATATAAATTCAGATATTTCAAAACCTGGCTAAAGATACTACTAGAAATAAGACAGGAAATCAGTTTTGTTTTTGTCACAATGTATCTGACGAACAAAATAAGATCCAGGACACTCTTTTCTCGCAGCTCTAATTTATTTATTTGCCACTGTATTTTATTGTGTTTTTAATTCCATAACTTTTCATGTAGCTGCTACTTGCAAGACTTACCGCAAAGAGAGTAGCTGTCAGCAAGATTTTCCTCTGTAAATCAAATTCAGTCCATCAATCACCCAGTGGAGGCTCTGAGTTGATATAAAAGTCGTGTCTCTGAGCCATGTCTGTTTGTTCACAGGTGTGTTCTCGTAAAATATGATCTTACTGCTGGTGATGCCATTTAAATCTCTCACAGCAGCTTTATTGTATTGTTTGCCTGACACTATCTAGCACCCATAATGTGGCTGTGAACTGTCATTATTTTGGTTTAAGGTTGAGTGTTTTAGTAGATTGGAAAAGTTTATTGTAAATAATAAATGCAATGTTTGAAGCACAAAAGAAAAACAGGTTATTTTTATTTAACTATATAAGGCTGAGTCCCGAGCTGAGTCCTCTCAAGTTACAGCTCAAGTAGACACTAAAGACAAGACATTTAATTGTTTGTCATTTAGGAGCTTTACCAGACCATTTACTTTTACTACAGCCGCAACACAATTCCAGTTCCACTTATCTTCCACTTTCAAGTCTGCGTCTTTATCTGGACACATAGAATTCGCCACCACATCAGAAGCTGCATTCTTCTGTTCTTATATATATTTTTATTCTCCTCTGTCATGTATCCATTGATAAGCAGTCGTCGTCTCCAGTCTCTCTGCACATCTGCGTCTCAAAGCTCCACAAACTGTCCTCTAACTGCTGTAATTCTGCCCATCCTCAGCCAATAAAGATAAGAGCAGGGCAGCTGGAATGTGGAGCAGAGAGGTGACAGTGACGGGATGAAGGGACGTAAACTGACATAAACTCCAACACTTTCTGTAACAACCTTTACAGCTTTTTTTTCTGTAGTCATTTGGACTCTGTATTCAACATGACCAGGCACTTCTTATATAAACGAATGTCAGCTGTGCGACTGCAGCTGTTATAAAGCAGTACTAATTCAACCTATAAGCAGCTCGTGCTCAGTTTTTACGCT